AGAGAACTATGTGAAGTAAAATAGGTTAATAAAAAAAAAAAAGAAAGTTAATATTTGAGACTTTATATTATGTGTGTATCCGTGTTTCGCGAATTCGTCGATTTTCTCTTCCACGTGGTGTATTTAAAATTTTAAATTTTAAATTACAAAAGAATAAATAGATATTTTAAATATAATGTAATTGTTGTTTTTAAGAGTAATTCCGAACTTTGTACCATTTTCTGTTTTCCGTTTTCCTTTTACACGCTGGGTATCGTGAAATTATCTTCCAAACGATTGAATTTATATTTCAGGTTTTTTTCATATTCAATTGGGTTAGTTCCGAAAGAACCCGGTAACGAATCGTATAAAATTTAGTGAGGTTGGAAGGGACCGGCAAGGACTCTTGCAGATGTCTGATCTTTACTACTTGCAAGTAGTAAAATCAACGTATGGTCAGATATCAGCAAGTAGAATACGTCAACGTATGGTTATAAAATGGGCAAGAGGTATAAGTCAACGTATGGTCAGAAATAAGTGAATAATATAGGTTTGGTCAGACATCCATAAGTAGTAATGGTCAGACTTTAATTCTACTTCAAATCTACTTCATTCTACTTTGCTTTACTTTAATTCTACTTTACAGTTGGCAACTACAACTTTACAATTGACAAATATACTGAAATGTATAAGAATGTTAAATAAAGAAAATGAATATGACCACGAAGACTATATAATAGGACAAGCAGAGTTAACTGATATTTTAATTGATCCCGAAAGAAAAGGAAATGATGTAGCAATTTTCAATACATTAAAAGAAAGAGAATTTGCAATTACTTCTATTAGATGTGCTATCCACACATTGCAACTCGCCATATATCTTTAGTCAATGGTTATATATATACATACATATATACGTACATATGTATACACATATATATGTACGCGCAAATATACACATATATATATATATACATAGCTTGTATTATATAGTAATATTATACTATTTAACAATATCGAAGATGATAAAAATGTTGAAAATGTACGTTACAAAACTTACCCATTGGTGACGTCATCATACCAAGCAAAATACGAATGTAGAACCTGAAAATGTTGAAACATAAAATTAGTTGTAAATAAATCCAGTTTGCAAGCATACAAGTTTTTCTCCATTATTTTAAGAATTTTACCTGTAAAAGCGTAGATGAAATGGATCCTTCTATGTTGAAAAAATTTTCAAAAACTTCAAACAACGAATCGCGAATAAATGAGATTGGAAAAGAGTGTAAGAAATATCACAACGCGCACTGAATTTAATATTGCTAAAAGATAAAGTGAGAAACAACTAAGACATTGTATTTTGTGTTTCATCAAACAAAATTACAGAAATAATTAGCGCGAAATAATCAGACGTCCGACACGAACTTTCAAACGCTTCGAACTGGCCAAGCACTCCGTGCGTCAATGCACCATCTAACCGGAAGTGCATTTTTATTAAAATTTAATACTACATGGTAAGAATAAGAAATTCGAACTAATATTTCTAATAAATACTGTCTTTGTTTGTTTATACGGTATTAAATATATTAATATATATTTCACATACGACAATGTAATGTTGAAAAACTTATAAATATAATGTAATTTGCGAAATGTAAAATCCCGCCAATATTGACTAGAGTAGTACATTTACAAAAATTTCAGCGCGAAATTTAAAATTAGCATCACACTTGTTTTCAATTTCTCTAAGCTCAAAATATTTTTATAATTCAGTATTATATTTAATATTTTGTCAGCTTAAAAAAAGGAAAATTAAAATAAAAAATAAAAATTGTGTATATTCATATTAGGTATATTATGTATATATGAATATGTGTGTGTATATTTTATTAGTAACATATTCATCTTTATAGCGACATTTATAAAAATGTTAAATAGCATATAAATATGTCATCACTACATATTTACAGAGTATTTAATATAAATGATTTGATATCCAGCATCATTTTTTTCATACCTTTATATGATACATAAAATATTATGATTTTATTCCAACTACAAATTATAAAAACTATGAAAGAATAAATAATCTCATGTCACAAGAAATAGTTCTTAAAATAATTTACTGAATATATGGACCCTCCATTGTAGAAATGCTTCTGGCAGTATGGCATTTCAAATATATTTAAGATACACCGAGTAGACTGGTAGACAAAAAGTCATATGACTTTCTTTCAGTTACTCAGGACGCCGTATTTTGTATTCTTATTTCTTATTCGGCTACTAGTGCTATTAAGGCTATCACGTGATATTTTTATAAAAAATTCCTTGTATCTAATTATAAGATATGAAATGTTCTTAGCTAGACTAGTTTTGTGCGATCAACAACGTTGCAAGTAACAACGCTCCTTTTCCTGTTTTATCCTATTTCAAAATGCGACAGTAATATGATTTTTATACAATTCCTTTTGAAATGATTCATGTATGATTCCCAATGAATATTTTAGTTACTTTGCAAATTATAGTATTTAATCAATGTTGACATATTGTCCTGTGACTGTGGCTGTTTGATGATATCTTCTTCTCCCAGCAAAATCTTCATTTTCCTCATTTAATTGCGCTGAGCAAGTTTCTACACCAGGATGCACTGGTGTAACCACGATTTGTTCATAATCGTAAACTTTTCTTCTAAAATTTGTAAACGAAATCTCTTACAGATTCATAGAAAAAAATATTGTAAAAATATTATAATAGTGTTAAAAATTACCCCATAATTCTTAATAACAACATTTTCAACCATTTAAACAGTTTAAATTCAGACGAAACACCTGGTTTAACTGCAGGATTAGCGTGACCAATGTAACTCCAAACAAGGAAAACGACAACAATATTGGCAATAGCGTAACCCCAATGAACAAGAAACATGATGAATAATTTTATAAGACACTACAAAACAAATTCATCTTAGAATTATATTTAAATCATTAGTATATTTGATAATGTATAAGAATAAACTTACCCCTAATAATGAAAACCATCTGTTACACAAAGGACTATACCAATTTCCCAATTTATTATGGATATGAATTTTTCGTTCCGAATTATCTGTACCGCTGACACTTTCATCAATACTTGGAGAAGAATCTATATATACGTTATTTTCAGAAAGACTAGGATTTCTCTGGAAATAATAGATACAACATTCCTTATTTTCTTCGTCGTATGAATAATTAAATATTTATTTAAACTTACGATAAGATTTTTATGCCTTATTCGTTCGGGGAATAAATTATCCAAATCATTGTCGGTATCCGTTATGGAATTATTCCTACTTGCAGAGCCATAGTCACGATCGAACGTTGGGGATTGTGTTCGAAATCTCTGTTCTCGAGACAATTGTATATCGAATGTTTGCGCAAGGGCGAAATATGCATAATCCAAACAGGCATATGTTAAGAGAAAAGGCATTGTGACAATTGGCGCAAGCGTGTTAATTTGACCGGTAATGATAAAAGTCAAGGTAACTACGGCAACGACTAACATTGCGTACACAGGTACCTTATTTGGTCCTTTCTAAAATGACATGATTATTTTATAATCATCACATATAGTAATAGAAAAAATATGTACTTGTATAAAATTACACTTACTCCTCTTTGCAAACAATTGATTCCTGGTATCACATTTTGACTAGCGATAGATTGAAGAACTCGAGGTGTACCATACATTGCACCCAAACAGCTGCTAAATGAAGACACGTAAAGACCTGCTATTAGCAATACTGAAATCGCAGATACCGTTGATGCAATCATAAAATTGGTAAGTAGTGCCTTTCGAGTGCAAGTAGCCCCAAGAAACAGTGAAAAACATAAATACAAAAAAGTTCTGAAATTAAATTACAGAATTATGATAGAATTTCTAACAATGAATGATATTGACATAATTGATTTTGAATTATTTTGATTTTTACCCAGTTCCTACAGCTGCCAATGTGCCATTAGGAATATCAGTGGATGGATGTTTCAAATCTCCACTCATATTAATACCAGCTAAAACACCAGTTACTGTTGGAAAGAATACACCAAAAACTGTAAACCAACTATACCCATCTTGATAGTTGGTGAAAGTATTATTTTTTAAATTTCCTGATAACCATCCTTCAAAACCAGCTTCTACAATACACACATAGAATTATATACACTTATTTTCATAAGTAAGAATAGAAGTAAGTAATTATAGACTATCTCATCTTACCAATATTCAGATGTGTAAAACTTCCAACCATAAAGTCTACACCAGCAAGCAATAAAATTAATAAAAGAATAAATTGAAGTTTTATGACCCATTTCACACCAGCGATATTAATAACAGATAACAAGATAACAGCAGTACAAGCAAAACCACGTTCTGCCCATGCAGATTCTAAACCCACCAGACCAGCCATAGATTCTCCAAATCCTAGAACATTTAGAGCACAGCCCACCGCCTAAAAAGAGTTTTAAAGTAATGTTCTAAGTATCGTCATTATACAAATTGTCCCACCTGTCCAAAACAATATAATAATCCAATAGCTCCACCAAATCTTGATCCTAACACATGTGATAGTAAAAAGTAAACTCCACCACTCTCTACACGACATCTTTCACATATTCCCACAGCAGACAATACAGTTATTAGTGCAATACATACTAAAATAATGATGAAACATCAAGTTCCTTCAAATGTTTCAATTTAATCGTCATTGGTGCATGCAGACACAATTGTTATTACCTGTACATAAAATTATTAAAACAGCATTAAGAACACCAGCTTGGCCCACTATCCACCCTGATCTCAAAAAGACAATAACTCCAAAAATATTAATTAGACAAGATGTAAAAACCCCATCCCATGTTCCAAATAGTACAGGCTGAGAAATAAAAAAATTTGATTTCCACCAAGGATCAGCACTCTGAAAAGCAGTAATTTTAAGAACACAGTCATAAATATTTTTATCTTAATCACTTACATATTCTTGAGCAAACAATTCATTTGCTCCGGTTTGATACATCTCGGGCCCAAATTCTGCATACTCTCTATTATTTCTCGATGTTTCGTTATTTCTTTGGGATTCTGTATTATTGTGCAAACCATATCTAGACCAATCGACATCTCTGTTGTTTGCAGCATCTCCATTTGACATTTGGTTTCTTTCATTTGACTCCATATTCTCTTTTATACAATTACAATACTTTATCTAATAATGATCTACTGTTAACAATTGAATCAGTCTTCTTGTTTTCAATCAATTCCAATTTTTTGTAGTTTTTCAACAATAAACTGATAAACACATAAAAAGATTTTCTCTTAGAATCATCTCTACTAATTATTAGTTAGATTTTATTTATTGTTTAAAAAAAAAAAAATTTTTTAAAATCAATAGAACTTGAATGACATAAGTATCCAGTTATTTTACTATCATAACGAAAAGAGAATGTTAAATATATTTAATGTTTATTGACGACTTTTATAAAAATAGGTTAGAACACAATTCCAGAGTTTTAAACAAAACAATAATTATTATAGGCCTGCACAATGATATAGTAATTTAATACATTCATTTTTTAAAATTTATCAATATCTTATATTAGGTTTATCGCATCAAATATATCACCTACTGGTGACGTGTTGTTCCACGATAAAACGACCATTTTTGATCTAACGGTATCAACTATCAACTATAGATACCATGAGAAGTGATTATTCACTTCTGTTTGATAAAACACGATTTTACTAAATATATTGGATATTCAAAAAATAAAGAAACATATTACTACTTTTTTAGAATCATTTATTCAATAATATTAATTAAAAATTTAATATAAAGGCTTTAGTGAAAAATAGTTCGGATATTGCATAATCTGACTTTAAAATATACATTTATTCGTGTCCATTATAGATTATAAACAAATCATACCCACATAAATGTATTAATCTAGAAATACATTCATTCACGACAATCATTCACTTGTAAAGGTAGAAAATCCAAGTCTTCCGGATTTGAGGTCGTTACCCGCTTATAACATAATGACTACACGCAATCTACAAATATCGCTAAACATTCTCTCTCTCTGTTTCACATACTTGGTAACATTCTCACAAGACATACATTTTATTCAGCTTTTTCAAAAACTGAATTCATCGTAATAATAACAATAATCAATAGTTCTATCTCACAAATTATTAAATCGTATATTTACAATAGCATTCATGCTCCCCTTCTCCATTTTTCACCATTACTGAATTTAGTCATTTCCCGGCCGCTTACGCCACAGGTACCGATTCCAACTCGACCATTCACATTTTCCGGCGTTGCAAATATACTCTTCTTAATTACACCCTTTTTCGAAGACTGCAATAAAAAAAAAAACGTAGTGCGTTAATAATGAACTAGTTTGATTGCAGATTCAACTAAAAAAATACCTTGTTTGTAAATGCTAGCCATTTATTTTTTTCCATTTCTCGTTCTTCTTCAAGTTCCTTAAATCGCTGAAGTTTCCTCTGTTTCTTTTTCTTTAGGTATTCTCTTTGTTTATTAGGATCTGAGCCTGCTACTGCAGCAGCTTGCATTTTTCTGTAAATGAATAAACTTATTACTTATGAAATCACTAGAGACAAATCTACCAGGATGTTTCCATATAAAATTTCTGGCTAAAAATGGAAAATATGAAAAATGCTGTAATAAATTAATATTGATTACATATAAATATATAAGAAGAATTGCTACTACTTCATGAAATATAAAATCTAATGTTCCATATGTATAAGTATGATGATTAAATAAAAATAATTTTAATTCACCTAGATATTAGTATAAATTAATATAAAACACAGCTAAAGATTTACTTATAATTATTAATTTTACACATTATCCTAAATTTGACTATCATAAAATTTGACTATTATAAAATTCCATATTATTCTGCTCTAAAAACATTGTCATTGCACTTAAGTCAATTCAAACTAGCATACCTTTTAAATCATGTCAGTCATTCATATATATATGTATGTGAGTGTATGTGTGTGTGTGTGAGTACATGTGTACAAAAAAGATAAAAAAGAATATTTCAACAAAAAAATCTGTTATTTCTTGTTACCTTTTCCTGGATTCCGGCGATGTACACGAACAGTGCGACACCAAGAGACAAATGAACAATAATGGATTTTCAGATCGAAGCAGACCAAACAGTGGAGTGAATATCGTGGCCAATTGGGAATAAAGGAATAAGGAGAAAAATGAACAATTAATAATATAATTTCTTGTAAAATTAATCCCGCAATGTTCTTAGAAAAGAACTGATAAGTGCTCAAAATTGTAGTGGGAGGATCATGTTAATAATGAATAAATAAAATTAATAAATAATTGTTAACTCACTTTGATTTTTGATCTGCCCAGTCTGATGCTGGCCTTTTAGCTACGGACTTTAATTGACTAAGCATTGTGACATCTGTATTCTTATATTCATTAAATGTTATATTGACAACACCATCTTCACTTATTGCATCTATGGTTGCCTCATAATATCTGAAAATTCAATGATAATAATAGGCATAGATTCTCATAATAGCTTCATTTGCTGATATCACATATATAATAAAAGTCACAGATATTTAATCCAAATACGTATCTTACAGAGATTACTAAAGTACTTAAACATTCAATTAAGTATTAAATAACATATAGCCTAAAATAATTATATCTTTAAAATACTGTATATCAGATATATGTTTACATTAAATGTCACATCTTGTATATACATTTCTATATACATTTCTACATTGGTAAATTTTATTAATATAATTACCATACTTGTCACCTCATTAAATAGTGTTAATGAAATTTTAAGTTTTCTATGACACATAATTTATTTGTAAAAATTAAATCGGCAAATACTTTTAGTTTAAATACTTTCAGTGAGCCACCATAGATGACTGTTAATTTATCCAAGTGACATATGCAATTACTTACTTGCCATCCTCGCTCCAAGGTGCCATGCACTGATCACCAACCTTCCACTTATTGGCCAGAACTGCAAGTAAAATAGGATCTTTAGCATCCATGCCATTGGCTTGCCTTTTTTCCTGCTGTTGTGATTTAATTAAATCATGTGTCAGCTCTATTACTTCTTCGAGATCGATTTTCAATTTCAGGAGTTCTTCGTTAGTGGGGTCCGTAGTAAGCGCTGCTTCCACCTAAAACCACGAAATTCATTTCACGCTCCATCGTCGTAAACAATCAGAGAATCGCTAAAAATGGACTCGCCATACCATCGTTCTTGTTAGGTTAAGCAAAAAAAACAAGAGCTAGTTTACCTGTTGAAGCTGTAGTTTATAATTCTGCAAATCGTCCATGATGCGATCAAGATCAGTAGCGTTTTAATAAAGATAAAAACAACGACAAACAGCTGGTTCTGTTTTCCTTTTCAATACCTCTGTCAGAAATTCAATCAAAAACGGACACTAGAGAACACCCTACGCTCTATGTGTATATACGATCATTTTAAATGCAAAACAATTCGTAAGATGGCACTTTGATTTTTGGCGGGCCACCTTTGAAAGTATAAAAGTCATAAACATTTTGATAATAAAACATTATGAGAAATATTTGTTTCATGTAAGTATAAGCAATGAAGCAACATCTTTATATGAAACAAAAATTAAATATCAACTTTTGAGTTGTATAAATGAGTAATAATCTATATACACCTGTGCTATCGCAGACGAGAGTTATTATGCTCAATTGATAACGTCACGTGTGACATGAAAACGGTAAGGAGGGACAATTGACTCCCGTCAAAACTTATGTTGTATATAGTGTTCTTGTGTTGCATGGCAATATAGTAATTAAATACATTGTACTTAATATCGTTTGACAGCTGACAGGAAATATTGATCATGGCCTACCCGGTAATTATATTTCTGCTATTTGGATAAAAATACTTTATCAATAAATAAAATTGCATTTTATCATTTTAAAACACATACAGTATATTCTGCTGGTTTATTACAACAGTATTTTACAAGACATTGATACTTGTTTAAATGATATTGTTTATTATTTATTTATACTTGTTTGTATTTTATTGTTTCAATGTATGTTTCTTTTTAGAGCACAATGTATGGAGCAACTGATTCTGAAACACAAGTGAATCCAGAAGTGCAACAATGGTTTGCTGCTGTTGATAGAGACGGCAGTGGAAGAATTACAGCTACAGAATTAAAAGCTGCATTGGCAAATGGGCAAGGGGGTACATTTTCAGATACTGCTTGCAGACTTATGATAGGTATGTTCTAAATTTAATTGCTTTAACTTGTTGATAAATTTTAGAATACAATTTTAATTTGATAATATTTAAAACATTTAATCTTCCTTCGTAGGAATGTTTGATAAGGAAAAAAGTGGTACAATAGATCTGCATGAATTTCAAGCTCTTTATAACTACATTAATGCATGGTTAAATGTTTTTCGTGGCTTTGATCGTGATAATTCTGGAAGTATACAAGAAAATGAATTAAGTGCAGCATTAACACGAATGGGATATAGATTAAGCCCAGAATTCATATCATTTCTTATAAAAAAAAGTGATCCTAATGGCCATTCTTACATTACTATTGATCAGTTTATTGTATTATGTGTTCAAATTCAGAGATTTACAGGTAAATGTATATATAAAATAAAAATATGTTAGAATCCTTAAAAAATGATAAAACTAAATTGTATATATATATATATACATTATCTTTAATTTTGTTTTACAGATGCTTTTAGAGTAAGGGATACTGAACAAACAGGTGTAATTAATATTGAATTTGAAGATTTTCTAGGTGTTGCACTTAACTGTAGTGTATAACAGTTCTTTTTTGTAACATTAAATTTAATATAATTTATTGTGAAATACCAAAACTGCTTGTAACTTCATACTACATATTTTTCTAGCTTAGAATTAATTTACTTTAATTATTTACAAATATAATAAAACAATTTATTTTAATTTTTTACTATATTATTTTTTACTATAATTAATTTTTTAGTATTTTAATTATACTCAGTATAATATTAATTTACTAATTGAGAATAAAATGTAATTAAAAATTTTATTCTATTTGTAGATTTATGTTTTATTTGAATATCATTTCAATACATATAAATATATATAAATGTTAATGTAATATGTATATTTTATCGAAATTGAAACGAAAAATTGTTAATATATTTTATATTGTATAACTTATGCTAAACTTTATTTAATAATTTTAACTTTTCAGTTTTAAAGCTTATTTCATAATGTTTTAATCTCAAGTTTTACATTGTTCTAATTTAAGCATTAGTAGCCAGAATGTATTACGTTTACATGTTTATACATGAATTTCTTGTGAAAAAACTATTTATACTTTTAAATGTACATAAAATAATACATCAAATAGTGAGATGATTTATATAGATGTGGAACAATAAATGTTCTATTTGAAATAATTGCAATTTGAACATAATTTCAAAAGAAATGTTTCTCTAACCTAACATTTTTTTGTGTTATATAAAATAAGTATGAATTTGTCCCAATACATGTATAATTACATATTTTTAAAAAAGTTACAATAATGTAAATTAAAACTTGAAAAATGATTACTACATTGTTTTAAGACATTGTTTTAATGTACAATGTGTATGTGATTAGGTAAGAGGATAAATTTAAAATTTATTAAAATATGTTTTATTAAAAACATATACTTGAACCTCAAATGACAGTAATATATTATTATGTAAATAAGAAATGTCAAATATTCATCACATGACAATTATTCAATCATTATAATATGATAAAATAATATTGTTTATAATCATATTTAATTTAGAGTATAAGTAATGATCTAATTTAATTTAATTACAATTTAATTAGATATTTCAGTGAGCCTTTGAACAATGAATCAAAGCTCAGGAATTATAATACAACAGCATTACATGCTAAACAGGCACATGAAAGAATTCAAGAATTCAATCGATTGAAAAAGGCAAGACAACTTCTTGATGCTATCTTTCTTACAAATGAATTACTTGCAGATGCTTCAGATGTAGAAATATTGAGTCTTGCTACCACAATAATAAAAAGATTTAAAGTTTTAGGAGTATGTAATATAACATCAGGTAAAGAACATATTCATTGAAATATAATGATGCATATAATTTTCTTTGAATAAACACAAATCTTTACAGAAAATTCTAGTGAAGATACAAGGATGTCTATGTTCAAACCTCCTCATACTGGCATTTATCATTGTTGTACTTTCTGTTCAAGTGGTGGTAAGAAAGAAGCTATTTGTGGATGTAGAGGATTTATGCCTGGTATAAATTTTTTTAATAATTTTATTACACATTATTATTTACTATAATATAGAATATAAAATAATATAGAATAATATAAAATACTAGAATATAGAATATTTACTATAATATAGAATATAGAATTCTATAATATAGAATAAGTTTTAATTAAAGGTGGATATAAAGGTTGTGGACATGGTCATGTTGGACATCCTGGAGTACATCATTGGTCTTGCTGTGGATCAATTTTACGTTATGGATGTTGCCTGTCCTCTCAAAAGAATGTATATCAATTATTGTTTTAATGTTATTGGTTTAAAATAAATTTTATTTTTTCATGAATACATTTTATTCCTTTTATAAATGAGCATTTATTACATATAAATAAAAATATAAAATTAAATTTTTTAAAAATTATTTATATAATATTTATTTATTTTTTATCACAGATTCTTATATCCCACAGGAATGTACAAATTTTCACCTCAAATGACAGTCTCATATTCTTAATTTAATTTTAAAATCTATAGTAATGATCATCACATGACAATTCATGTACATGTATGTACATATGTTTCTTTTATAATAGTACATCTTTTATTCCGGAATCTTCCTATTCTTATATTACATATATGTACATATTTCTTATAATTATAATGTTATCTAACAAATAACTGATAAAAATTTATCAGTTTAACATACCTATAATCTATTGAAATGAAAGTATCTCTTATTTCATTAAAAGTGCTATTTGCGAATGCATCTCGGTCATACTGCGTTAAGAGTTTGTTTAAAAGCATTTTTGCCTTTTGCAGCATTTTAGTTAAATACAAAATAACTCGTTTTGCAGCTCCAACAGCATTTTCACTCGCATGACCTCTGTGCTGGTTACTCCACATACATTCTTTACAAGTTACCTAAAAAATATCTAACATGTTTAAAAAATGCAATTCAGTAAATAAAAAATTATATAAGTAAAACAATAAATTATGAACCTGTTGGCAAGCAATACAATAAAAACGCAAAGCATGTGTAGGATGTTGTTGGCAAAGTGCAGTACGTCGTACTTTTGTAGCTTCCCATAATGGTTTTATTGAATGTTTCAATGGCTTTAACTCCAATGAGATTTGTTGTTGATGCTCCATGCCACAGTCCAAGCAAAAATTACGAAGACACGTAGAACACTGAACGACTGCCTTTAGAAATATTAAAAATAATATTTTTAAATATTTCTTGAGACAAAACTTTACTTTAAATTGAAAAAGTAATGCTTACAACAATTTCATCTGGGCAAATATCACAAAGTATTTTGTTTGCAAATCTAGAGCGAATAGCACTCATTACTAAACGATGTTGAAGAGGATAATGCGGAGGTGGAATTGTTGAATTAGCGTTTGGCAATTGAAAATCACATAAAGGACAAATTTCGTAATATTTATTTTTATCACTTTCCGATTGGGTACTTTGTATTTTAATACCTTTTGAAGAATTATAAATTGCTGAGAATGTAGAAGAAAATATAATAAGACAACTTATATATTCCTGGAAAGGTAAATTAAATTTTTCGAGATCACTTACGTTTACTCATTAATTCTGCAACACACGGTGAACATATGGGATGCAAGCAAGGAAGTAATCTAGGTTCTTGCATCCTTTGACCGCATCTAGGGCATCGAAAATCTTCGTCTTTTTGCATATTAAGAGAAGAATAACAATTTTGCTCTTGTGTATTTCCATTATTTATTTGGTCTTTCATACCACAAGATAACTCAGAAAATTGATGAACAAAATCTGATCTATTTCTATTCCAGGATAAAGGTCGATTAGAGCATTTATCATATCTACACAAACAAAAATTAACTTCGTTTATAATACTGAAAACTGTTTTTAAATTTTTTATTGAAGCATTCCCATATTTACTTTAACAACTTTAGCGTTAAATAAGTAATAAAGGCAATATAATAAAAATTAAAAATAGCACTTACCGTTCGTTTTTAGCAGAATGTAATGGCTCTACGTTGACAACGGGATATCTACCTTCGATTTTATTTTTTCGTTCGAGGAATATGTAATCTTCGTTACGGAGTTCGTTGTTCTCATTTTCACCATCCATCGATGATTTTTCGTTACAGCAACTCTTTATATATTGATATTTTGAGCAGATAATAAAATCCATTAAATTGCTAAGCTAATTTATTAGTTTATGAAATTAGAATTAAATAAATGATTTAATGTCAAAAGAATAGAAAAGAACTTACTAATTTATGGCGAAATTTATTGCATACAGAAATTTGTCGGTGGATGATGGTACGAATAACTTTTGCACTACTTCGCACTTACCATAGCGTAATGAGTTAAAAATAACGCTAAAGCAAACGTGAAACGAAATTGTGACTGTTTTAAAATGCTTTAGACTACTTTATACTAAATTTAAATACTTATATTAAATTTAAAATCATTTCCCTTGTTTTACTTAACATCGAACGTTAAAAAAACATTAAGGAAAATAAATTATTACATCAGCTATATGGACAATAAATTTTATTATTTATCCATATGCAGTGTAAAAATAAGGTCGATGATATACATATTACAGAGCAAGTATTACAGACAAGGGATACATGAATAAGAAATGATTATTATATAAATACAATATTTTCTAAGGCCGTAATTAAATCAAGTTTGATTATTGTGCTATGATATCGCACGCGCATATACGGCGATATATCTACAATTATGTAATAAAACTTTCAGATACAAGTACACAATACCAATAAATATACGCATTATTTCGAATAAATCAAATAAGATGCAATGAAGTGAGCGCGTGACTTCTTATCTCTAATCTAAATTTTTCTGTTAAATTTTTTTTTACAAGTAGCGACTTCCGTCTGAGAAATCATATCTTTATTAGGTACATACATAAAATTACAGCCTTGTAACTGACTAGTATTT